ATTAATTAATTAAAATAAAAATTAAATAATATAAAATAAATTAATTAAAATAATAAATAAATAATATAAAATAAAATAAATTAAATTAATTAAATAAAAAAAATTTAATATAATAAATAAATTAATTAAAATAATAATTAAATAATATAAAATAAAATAAATTAAATTAATTAAATAAAAAAATTTTAATATAATAAATAAATTAATTAAAATAATAATTAAATAATATAAAATAAAATAAATTAAATTAATTAAATAAAAAAATTTTAATATAATAAATAAATTAATTAAAATAATAATTAAATAATATAAAATAAATTAATTAAATAATAAATAAATAATATAAAATAAAATAATTAAATTAAAATAGTAAATTAATTAAAATAATAAACAATATAAAATAAATTAATTAAATTAAAATAAATTAAAATAAATAATTATATGTAAATTATAACATATATATTTTTAAATTTTTATATAACTACATTAAATTATTAATATATATAATATTATACATAATTATTTTTAAAATAATGTAATAAATATTAGTTAATGAATTAAAGTAATATTTATTTTATAAATATATATTAATAATTATATTAACTTTAATAAATACATTATTTATATTGGACATAATAATTATTATATAAATATATATTAAAATAAAGGAAATAATATTATAATTTTTATTAATTAATATAATTTAATTATATAAACAAAATAATAATATATTAATACAATATAAAGAAACAAAATATATTATTAAATATATAAATTCAATTAATTATAAAAAATAAATTAAATAAAATGATAAATAATATATAATAATATAATTAAAAAATAAATTAATATATTTTTATTAATTTTATTAAAAATAAAAATATTAATTTATATATATATATAATATTCATATATATATATTTAATTAATTAATTATTATTTATAAAAAAATATATTAATTAATTTGAATTTAAATATATATAAATAAATATTTTAATATAACTTGATTAATATATTATTTATTTTTTATTAATTAAAATAAAAAAATAATAAATTAAATATATATAATATATATATTTTTTATGTAAATATATATAATTATTATTTTTATTTAATTAATTAATATATATTTTATTATTTATTTAACATTTTAAAACAATAAATAATTATATATATATATATATATAATAATAATTAAATAAAATAATTTAATTATAAAAATATATTTAAAAGGAATTATTTATTTATATACACATTTAATATATTTAAATATAATAGTTTTATTATTATATATAATAAATAGTTTAATTAAAATAATATATTAATATATTTATAATTTATTATTTTGATTTTAAATATTAAATTATATAAAATATATATATTATATTTTAATTTTAATTTAAAATATATTTTTTAATATTTAAATGTAATAAATGAAATTATTTATTATTAATTTATTTTATTTTAAGTTAAATTGTATATATATATATATATATATAATTTATTTATTAAATTAATAAATATATATTATTTATTTATTATTAAATTAAATATATATATTATATTAAATGAATTATAATATTAATATATAAAATAACAATGTAATAATTAATATATTTAATATATTTTTATATTAAAATAAAAATAAATAATTATATATATATAATTAATTATTAAATATTAATTTTTCTTTTATATTAAATTTATTATTATTTTTATTATATTTAATATATTTAATTACCTATAATAAATTATTATTTTGTTTATATTAATTAATTAATTTAATAATAAATAATAAAATAAATAATTATATCATTTTATTTAAGTATAATTAAATTAATAAATATATAAATAAAAATTAATTAATGTATAAATTATTTTATACATAATTATAATTAATTTAATTATTATTTAATTAATATATGATATATTTATACATTTTAATATATATATAACTTTTTTTATATTAAATAAAAATAATTTTCTTTTACTTCTAATATAAATATATGTTATTTTCCTTAAGATATTTATTTTCAATAAATATTATTATAATTTAAATATATATAATTATATAGTATGATAATATCATATATATTTTTTTATGTAATTAAAAATTGGGAGAGAAATTATTCTAATTCAGAAAATATATATGAAGGTAACATTTTAATCGCATTTATTTATCATTTATTATATATATATATTTTTTACCATAAAAATATAAATACAAGAAAAAACTGTTTCTTAATTTTAAATGTTAATATTTGATGGATTAATTAATTTCAGACAATATATTATTTAATCGTTTTATTTTGTAGGCCTTCACAAGTATGAAATGTATCATTTACTATTATCTTTTCCGAATGATTTTTAATGTGTAACTTTAAATTATAAAAATGTTGAATATTTTTCTTGATCGTCTTATAAAAAAAAAACATATTCCCTAAAAATACATATGATGGTTATATCACAAATACATTTTTTTTAGTATATAACAAATAATATAATAGTATTTTCATAATTTACAAATGTAATCATGTGTTAGTTAAAAATTATATAACCGTCATTGATGAATAAATTTTAAAAGAAAATGTAAAATATCTGCAACATCTAAATGTTTTAATAAGATAAAAATATAATAAAAGTATTTAAAAAGTTTCTTTTTATAGAATGATTTATCTATTATACATAAATTATCTTGATTTCTTCATAATGTATGATAAAGAAAAAAATATTGTACTTTATGAAACATATTTAATACATATATATTTTTTTTATTATATATTGTAATATATAAAACTTAAAGTTCAATTCCTTTGTAAAACAAGTAAATATTTACTTACCAGCATAATGAAAATAAAAATTTTTATATCAAATTAGACATAAAAATATACCTTGAAAAAATAAAAGAATATTTTATTTAGAAATTTTGTTTTGTGCTGTTAAATAAAATATGAATAAATTATATATCAATAAGAATTAAAAACAGTTATACAAAAAGTGTATAAATGGAAAAAATTGTGTCAAGTAGATACATGTTCAAAATGAATTACCATGTTCAATCAAAAAATTGATATAAAAATATATTCACCTCGAAAATTCATATTCCCTCTATTTTAAAGTGTCTTATATATTGTCCTTTACACTTTTTTAATACAAAATTTTTAAGATAATCATTAGGTATATATTTTAAGAATATATTGTCATATTCCTAAATTCAAAATTTTTTATTGTTATTTTCTTAACACATTATAATAAAAATTGTATGTATGATGCAGTATTCATATCATTATGTATGTATATTTTAATTCATTATACATTTTTGTTAATAGAAAGAAATATTGAAAAATAAAAATTGTTAAAATGAATACAATTTAGCACCTTTACATTATGTGTCTTTATAAAAAAGATTTTTAGGATTTACCTAAAGATCTTTATATGCAATAGGACAAATGTATGGAACAAAATTTTTGTAACACAAATAATTCTAAATATTTTTTCATATAAAAAGGGAATCTTGGTAAAATAAAAAATTAATAATAATGTTAGTTTTAAATTTATTTTTTCTAATGTTAATTATGTCAAAGAAAAATTATATAGATTTGTTATTACTTTATATATATTATTATTACACAAAATAAAATGAATATAAATTGTACACACTTATATATTGAATGAAGTCTGCAATGATAACGAGATACCTTATTTATAAAATACAATATTTGTGAATTATACTTTCTTTAAATGTTTCGTATGTATGAAAACATATAATTATCATAAATATAACAATATAAAGACGTGTTTCATAATGTTGTAAGGTAAAAATATAAAAATAAAAAAAAAATAAAATGCATATTTCAATTGTAATTAAATATTTCAGTGCATTATTTTATGATTCATACACAAATAATATAAAATATATAACAAAAATAAATAAATATGTTCAAAAAGTTTTCAATATTTATAAAAAATTTAATATATAAAATATGCATGATTGAATCATCACGTTATTAGTGTTAATGAGTTATGAAAAAAATACCTTTTTTTTCCTTCATGCATATATAACATATAAATTTTGTGAACAAATCCTTATAAATATATATAGATAAAAAATACATAATTACACTTCTTATATACTTTTTAAATTATTATAGATGATAGAATGTTATTACTTACAAGGATTGACAAAATATTTCAGAATGATGTTATATACCTATTAAAAAAAGAAAAAACGAAGTACATTTATAGGATCACATGTTGATTCTTTCAATTTTAAAGTTTTATTGAACTGTAAAAGCGCATGCTTTTTTATTTAAAAAGAAATAGAATTTATTTGTTTTTTTTAAGAACATCTAATGAAATATTTTTTAATTTCTATTAATATTATGAACATTCACATTATGTTTAAGAAAATTGTTTTTCAAAAATACATATAAAACTCAAATATATAGAATAATAAATCTATAAATGTATTACTTAAATATATATATTTATAAGAAAATAGAAAAATATATAATTACTTTTTAGTATATATTATAAAATATGAACAAATAAACAATTTATTTGATCAACCATAATATATAGACCATTAAAATAATAAAAGGTAAAAACATTTCTTATAAAAATTCTACAGAATAGAAAAATAATTTATACATGATTTCAATTTATTATATATATAGAACATAGATCCTTATTTTGTTAAAAATATATCATTAATTTTTAAAATGAAGAAAAAACCGATGTAGATTTTTTCTTTCTTTTTAAAATTTTTTCATTTCTTAATGTATACTATTCATTCAATATAACAGATTAGCTCATGGATAATATATATATATATATATATATTATATATAAAACAACCAATTAAATTAACATTCCACAAATTATATTAATTACATTTTCATGAAAGGAAAAAAATATATAAATTACGCACATTATATATATATATATATATATATTATATAATATTTTGTTATAATATCTTTATAATCCCAAATTTTAAAAATTAAAAATATTTAAAGTAAAAGCATATTTTACATTATATTTATTTACCCTCATGAGGACATATTTACTTGAATATATATGTAAAGAAATACTTTATGTTTTTATATCCCTTTCACAAATGTTTGTCCAATGATAATTCATAAGGATTACATTTTTAACATGAGATTCGACTTTATGAAAAAATGCCATATTTATGTAGTTCAATTTTATGTTCATTTTATATATAAACGATATAATAAAAATGTATTCAAAAAAAGAATGCACATATTATTATATATCATATATGTATACCCCCCCCACTTACTTTACTTAACATGCCTATTTGGGTACAATAAATTGTTAAATGCGTAATAAATTATTAACATAATAAATAATTTTTTCGTGATTTTCCTTTATTTTTTATTTCCAATTTTGAAAAATAGTATTTATACGTAATGAAAAAAAAAATGGCAAAAAAATTGTTTTTATTATTGTTTAAATTATTAAATTCTAAAAAACTTTTTTCACGTGAATATATTATAAAATAATTAATAAAATTGTAAAAGCCAGATTAATATTATGTAAAATATATTATATGATTAAAACATATAATATATATATATTTATTTATAATTAAATGAAATAATATTAAGATCCTAACAATTATAAAATATATAAAAAATATAAAAAAGCGCTTGATAAAATATTTAATAATATATTAACGAAAAAATACTTTTTTTCTGCCTTCAGCATTTTTATTATTATACATTATTTTCATTTTTTTAAAGGAACAAATATTAAAGAGAAAAACATTATATTTACAAAATATTAACTCCCCCCATTTTTTTTTTTTTTTCCTTTCAATTTATATTTGTATTAAAATTGAGCTCATATATAAGAAAATATTTATGTTCGTTCATTATATAATATATAAAATAAATTATTATAAATAATATATATATATAAATATATAACTTATACATAAAAAAAAATATATAATTTATATAATTATATATTATATATATATATATATATAAATATAATAATTTTAAAAAAAAAGAATATATATATAAATATAAAATTGTAAATATATTTATAAAAGAAAAAATAATATATTTATTTATATATAAACGAAAGGATTATTTTATTATATATAAAAATTTTTATATATTTTATAAAATTTATATAATATAAATTTTATATAATAATGATATATATATATATTTATAAAGGATAAGAAAAAATTAAATTTTTTATTATTCTTCTGATTAAATTTTGAGATATATATATATTTAAAAGATATAAAAAAAATAAAATATATAAGAACAAAATTCTTACATTATTATATATATATATAATATAATATATTATAAGATATTATTTCCAAAGAAAAAAAAAGAGAAAAATATATATTATAATTATTATATTATACTTATTAAATAGAATTTTTGTTTGCTTTTTCTTTTTTTTTTTATATCATAATTATTGTATTATATATATATAAAATATATTTTTTTTCGTTTTCATTTGCACTATACATTATTTTATATTTCCAAACTGAAGAAGATAATTATTTTATGTTGTATAATATATATATTAGTGCGTACAATATAATAAAATGAAAGAAAAAAATGAGAAAATAATGGATTACTTATCATGCCCCCTTGATGATGTAGTTGATCGAGAAAAAAAAAGTGGGAAAAATAGTTTGTTAAAATCAACTAGTACGAAGAAAAGTGATTATAAAAAAAGTAGTATATTTTCTAAAAACAGAGATTCTCATAAAAAAGGATCAAGTTTCAGGGGAAGAAGATCTGGATTTATGAATAGAAAATCAGGAAGTTTTAAAAAGCCATATTATAATAATAGATTAATTAACAAAAATTATAATAACTATAAAGGTAGAAATTTTCATAATGGAAGAGATTATTTTAAAGGTAGAACTGGAAGTTATGGTTCACGTGTCTTTGATAATCGTAAAGGATCTTTTAAAAAAAGATTTATAAGTAATAGAAATAAAGCATCTGTAAAATCATATAGAGGAAATGGTTCTAATAAAATGGGTAGAAAATCATTTAACAAAGCACCTACATCAAGAACAGTTGTTACCAAAAGATTAAATAATTATAAAACTGTTCAAGCTCCAGCGAAAAAATTTAATAACTTAAATATTTCTTTGTATCGTAAAAATAGAACATTCGCATTGAATACGAAGAGATCTAAACCTGTAGGAACAATTAAAAGTAGTGTACCTAGAAAAAGAATTAAGAAAGGTTTAAAAAAAGGTATCTTGAAATCAAAAACTAGAAAAAGTACGTCTGGATCAAAATTTAAACCATTAAATAAATATTTTTTGTCTAAAATAAAAATTGTTACTTCATTAAATAAAATACCATCACCCCTAAAGGAGCAAAAAAATACTGAAGTTAATCTTCCAGAATCATTAAATAATGCAACGGCAAAGAAAAATTAAACTACAGAGATAAAGTGGAAGATCAAAATGAAGAAAAAATATAAAAAGAAAAAAGAATATATTATAAAATAAGAAGATAAATAAATTATATATTTGTATGCATGTAAAAAAAAAAAAAAAAAAAAAAGTAAAATATTAAAAACGTGCCTGTGTTAGTTGACACTATGTTGAAGTATTAATTAATTAAAAAAGAAAATGCCATGGCAATTTTTAATTTTTATTATATTATATCATATTATATAATAATATATTATATATATATATATATATATATGTATACTTATATATTCTTTATATATATATATATACATTTTTTTAATCGAAATAATAATAAGAAATATTTATTATGAGATTATAATGTAAATGATAATACAGTCATTTTTATTTACATTCAAATTAAATATAATAACATATTACTAAAAATTTTGGAGCTAAAATGTAGGCAGTATTTTATTAATTTATTTTTATAAACTTTTTTATTTTGATAAAAAAGACGAAAAACGATACACCAATAAACAAAAAATAAAAAGTATAATAATAATATTAATTATTATTATTTATATACTTTTACATTATTGCAAATATTTAAAGGAATAAATAATGGATATTATTGCATATGTTTAAGATTGAAATGAAAGAAGTGAATTACATAACATTTAAAAAAAAAAAAAATAATAAAATAGTGAAAGAATATTTTAAGCGATTTTTTTTTTTTTTTTTTTTTTTTTTGTCTTATATACTTGATCCTTTATATACCTAAATTTACCACACCTTTCGTAACAATATTGACTGTATGGATTTTTCATAAAAAAAGAGGAAAAGAAAATATCCTTATTAATATTTATAAGCATAAATATATATATGTTTTAGGAACTTATATATATATTATATATATTGAATATTTTATTCCTTCAATTTGGTATACATTTAGAACGTCGAATATTAAATAATCTATAATATGGTATAAGAATATATTTAATTTTTTTTTTTTTTTTGTTATTTTAAATTTTTTTTTCAGAAATTTCAAAATAAAATATATATTCTACTTTATTAAAAAAAAAAAATCCATATTCTTTTTTATTTAATATTTTAATATAACAAATAGTTAAAGTAAAGAAATTATTTGTTGTCATAAGAGGGAAAAAGATAAATATTACATTAAAAAGAATTTGTAAATATGTATATATATATATATATATATATATATAATGTTATGTCCATGTTATAATCTTTGAATATTATATATATATTTGTTTTTTTTGTGGGTTTTTTTTTCTGATATTGAGCATAATGACATTTATAAATAAAGGTAATTATTTATTTACATATTTGATTATATGTATATATATAAATAATTCTTTATTTTATTAATAATATATATGTATATATATTTATATATATAATACATATTGTTCATATTTTCATTGTTTTTCTTTTTATTATATATAAGGAACATCTTTATTTGTTATAAAGATTTTAATAATAAAAAAAAAAAAATAGATTTTTTTTTTATTGATAATATATATAATTTTGTAATGTTTATAGCTGAACAACGGAATTCTTTCGTTTCAATGTTATTTGAAATAAAATAAAAATATCATAAGTGTTATTAGTTTCTATTTATATAGATTAGGAATATAAAAAATGATTTTTTCTTATAAAATTGAAATATTTATAATATTTATAATATTGTATAAAATAATTGTCTTCTATCATATATCTTTTTTTGTTAGGAATAAAAAAAAAACATGTTGCATATATATATATATAGAAGTAGATTCAAATGAATATATTAAATATTACTCTCTATATAAAAATAATATGTATAGATTAATTATTTTATTTTATTTTTTTTTTAAACATTATAGAAAACATAATGCATATTATATTTGTTTCTTTTTCTTTTTTTCGTAAAAATATGATGAATATCTTTTTACATATAATATTAATATATTTTTTTTTTTTTTTCATTTCTTTTTAAATAGTTGGAATAAAATTATTAAATTTCAAATATATTTTTAAAATAAACATTGAAATGAGAAGACAATATAAATATTTTTATATGCCCCATTTATTTTTATTTATATATATATATATATATTATAAATAAAAAATTATATTTATCATTATAGGGGAAGAAGATATTTATATTTTCTTTTTTTTTAATATATATAAATATATAATTAATGTTTGTATATATTCATTTCAAAATAATTAAAAAAAAAAAAAAAGAAAAAAAAATGCATGTATTTTTTTATAATATATTTATATATATAAAAAGAAGTCCATATATAAAATAAAGTAATAATTATTATTCTTTTTTTTTACAAACAAATAATATTATATTCATTTTTTTTTTTTTTTTTTTTTTTTTTTTACCGTCTTCTCATGGATAAATATATAATATGTACAAAAATATATAATATATATATATATATATATAATATGAATGAAAATATAGTTACATTATTTTTCTTTCTATATATATTATTTCTTCTTATTTTTTTTTATTTTCAGTGTTTTTTTAAAAACATTATTCCATATATTATATATACATAATATTACATACATGTTTTAAGAAGAATTTCATAAAAAAAAAAAAAAAAATATATATATATATATATATATAAAATATATAAGTAAATCAAATTTATAATATATTTTAAAATAATAAAAAAAACAAATTATATTTATATTTATATATATAATATAATATAATATATATATAATAAAAAAATGTAAAACAGAAAACTTTAAATAAAAAAAAAAAATAAGAACATTATATATATATATATATATATATATAATAAAACATAGAAAATAAAAATAAAAATATATATTCAAAAAATACAAAATAAATATATTATTATATATAAGTCAAAATGAAGAATTATTTGATTTAAAAAAAAAAAAAAAAACAAGTTATAGAACGTCAGTATATATTTTCATACGTTGACTTGTAATATTATATTAGGGTAAAAGGGAATGAAAATACAAAAATGGTATTATTTTAATAATACCTAAAGAAAAAAAAAAAAAATATATATATATATATATATGTATGTATGTATATTATTATAAAAACGAAGAAACCATGGGAAAACATAATTAAAAATGAAGATAAGTTTTTTATTTAAGTTAGTTTGCATATATATTATAATAATTTGTTCATTTGAAAATGTAAGATGTTTAAAAACAAAAGAAATAGTAAGATGTTTTAACCCGTTTGTTCGTACAAAAACGATAAAAAAGAAGGTAGTACAACCTAATTTTTTAAAAAGAGTTGCATTGAATTTAAAGATT